CATTTGGTGGAAAGGTTGTTGTCTTTGGAGGGGATTTCCGACAAGTACTTCCTGTTGTCCCACGAGCGACACGACAACAAACCGTTCATGAAAGCTTGGTAAAGTCATACCTTTGGAAGCAAATGGAAAAATTACAGTTGAAAAAAAACATGCGAGCTCAGAATGACTACCAATTTGCAGAGTATTTATTAAAGATTGGGAATGGAACTGAACCATCAATAGTTGAAGACTATGTTCGCCTACCAAAAGATATTGCCATTATAGATGAAGGTCATGAAGATTCAGTATTAAAATTACTAAATATTGTTTATCCTGATCTCCCACAAAATGCAATGTCAGCTGAATATATAACAAATAGAGCGATTCTTTCGACCACAAATGAGTATGTTGATGAGATCAACAATAAAATGATTCGCCTATTTCCTGGAAACATAGAAGAGTTCATGAGTTTTGACGAGGCAATTGATGACACACATAGTTACTATCAAGAAGAATTTCTCAATTCATTATTGCCCAATGGTATTCCTCCTCACAAATTGATGCTAAAAATAAATTGTCCAATCATACTTTTAAGAAACTTAGATCCATCTAATGGTCTATGTAATGGAACTAGAATGGTTTGTCGGAAATTTCAGAAGAACGTCATTGATGCAGAAATCACATCTGGCCAACATGCAGGAAAACAAGTCTTCCTCCCACGTATACCAATGAGCCCAGCAAATGATGAAGGATATCCATTCAAATTCAAAAGAAAACAATTTCCAATTCGACTATGCTTTGCCATGACTATTAATAAGGCTCAAGGACAAACGATTCCCAATGTGGGAATTTATCTTCCTCAACATGTTTTTTCCCATGGACAATTGTATGTCGCACTTTCGAGAGGCATTTCTACAGCAACAACAAAGGTATTGGTGAAATCAGATGATCGATTGACAAAAAATATTGTATATAAGGAAGTTTTGACTTTGTAAGAAAATTTAATAAACTTTCTTTCTTTCTTTTTAATTATTTTTATTTTGTCATTTTTAACTATACAATTATTTGATATAATTAAAGGACAATATTTTATACCATATATCACATCTTCATTTCTATCCATAGTTTATCCTCTAATGAAAACTCGAGTTTCAAAAATTAATAAACAGATATGCACTACGAAATAAATGCAATTAAAAAATAAATTTGTTATTAAAAAAGATATTTTATGTAAACACACCTACAAATTACTAATATATAACTTTTATTAGAAAAGAAAAATGTACAACATTTTTTAAAGATTAAATGTAGTTGTTACAGGTACTTTAACATTCCACACAAAAAAATTATTTTTAAATAAAAATAACGTGCGACGCACGTGGTAAGTACTAGTATAAGAAAATGCAGGGAAGGGAATGAGAATGTATTCTCCCTTCCTATATAGGTGTTTGAAGAAAAATGTCCTTCATCCTTGCCACACACATGAGCCTAAACGGGGATTTCCTGTCCTGTTTAAGGTGGTCCATACAAGCACGTCCAAAAAATAGAACAACCCTAACATTCACGTTTAATAAATTCATCAACTTAAAAAAATGTCCAGTCTCTCAATTTTAGATATTATGTTTAATTAGGAAGTAATTGTTTTTTTTGACTATAATGATCAAATCTAATTGTTTTCAAAACTGCGTTTTGCCAGTTTCTTAACTATAATTATCTAACTTCTATTATCACATCTTATTTAATTAATTTTTTTAAACTATAATTATTAAAACTAATTATTTATACAATTTAGTTATACAATTTTTTTAACTATAATTATTAAAACTAATTATTTTTACAATTTAATTATACAAAATTTTTAACTATAATTATCAAACCTATTTATTTTCACAACTTAGGTATACATATTTGTTTTATTATAATTATAAAATATCTATTCTCACAACTTATTGTATACTTTTTTACACTACAATTAACTAGAATGAGTTGACCTACACAACCTTGTTCATTAATTATTTTGATATGCATGACTTAGTATTTGTATATAGAGTATAAGTGACACGATAATGTTACTTAGTTACATTTTGTAAGTTAGAGATATGAGGAAAAGGAAGTTTTATGTAATATTCGTCGGACATAGGACAAAGATTTACATCTCGTGGTATGAATATCGTAGAGAAATTCATGGATTTAGGAGAGCGGTGCACAAATCATATGAAACTTTCGTGGAAATGAAGCACGCATATAGTCAACATGTGACAAGTGACCAATCAAATCAAATTGAATCTAAATGTAGTGGTCGTAGCATAAATTCCATAGAAATTATTTGATAACGGATAACCTTGCGACGTGGAGGGGCCGACGTCATCTTTTAAAAATCTCTTAAGATAAAAGATTTTGGAGTCGCCACCAACCATGATAAGGATGTGATTGGTCACCCAAGTAGAATAAAATAAAGAAAATTGGTCTGCGTAAATTAGATTGAGTTCGGGAGTCAGTTCGGGAGTCACTTGTGTGTAGGGAAGGTGTTAACACCCACAACACCCGAGAAAAAAGTTGCCAGTATTTTATTTTTTATTATCCAATTTATTAAATTATTGAAGGTCCAGAAAAAATTTATTTTATTTTATTTTTAAATGTCCCATGTTTAATAATTCACATTTTAGAAATAAAATATGAATTAATTACTATGGGTGACATAAATGTCATTCAAAACATCGAAAAATTATTTTTGGGAGAAATTTTATGTATTTAAAGAATTAAAAAAAACTAATCAACCTCCCTTTATTTTGTTTTTTTAAATTTAAAAAAAAATTCTTTTTAATTATTTTATGGAAAACGTTTTGAACTACTAAAAATCATTTTAAAATGGGAATTTCATGTATTTATAGAATTTATAAAAAAACCTATAAAAAGAACACTACTTTATCCTTGAGAACTTTCATGTATTTGTTAGTTTTAGAAAAAATTCACAAACTGAACACTACTAGTTTTGAAATCTGGTTTTTATATTTGCGGAAACAAAAAAGTGTTTTTTTTTTACTTTATAGAACTAACTTGAAATAAATTAGATTTTAGGAGGAAAGAGGAAAAAAACTATACAGATCATGACATTACTGCAATTTCAAAATTTTAATATTTAAAATTAGAAACATTTAAATCTTTTTGACATATTGAGGTACAACTTGGAAGATTGCATTTACCAAATCTCACATAGCTTTAATAAAAAGATTAAAAAGCTACATAGAATCTGTTGAGGTAAAATTTAATATTCACCAAGCTTTGCAATCTCAAAATTTTAATATTTAAAATTTCAGTTTCATAATTTTAATATTTAAAAGACTAGAAACATAAAAAAAAAAAAAATTTACATTTTGTGTAAACAAAATGATTTTTTAGATTTATAACAAACTAATTTGGTAGAGAATTAAATGTTTCAAATTTTGAAAGCATTTTGAAATTTTGATGCACGAGATTTTATTGGGTTAAATTGGGTTTAAAAGCCTGAGTATAAAAGAATATGAACATGGCCCAAGATTATATAATTATACGGTCCTAAATCCATAAAAATACAGTAAGCCAAGATTCAAATCATTTGCAGATTATTCAAACTACAAAATTTAAATGCATACCTCATACATTAAAATCTAAAATAGAATTGACATGGAAAATGAATTAGCAAATCAGTTAAACAAATTTCAACTTACATGGAGGGGAACAAAAATTAACAAAATAAGGCAAGTAGACATGGGAGAAAATATTAACAGCATACTAAATGAGACTTGTAAAAGAAAGATGATATGAACCAAGGAACTCCCTTTGTCATGCCTCATGGACCGATTACAAGATCAAGAGCTCGGAAACTTCAACAAGCCTTACTACTTCCTGTCCAAGCGTTCGTGAACTCGACACGAGAATTAAAGGAAGATGTGCAAGATGTTGAAACAATTCACTTCAATTTGGTGCAAGTTATGCATTTTTAAGTGTTTTTAAGGCAAGTTAAAGTCCACTTGGTCAAGGTCAAAGTCAACTCCATCAAGACAAGTCAAAGTCAACTCATTCAATTCAAAAACCAAGTCAAACACTCACATCTCTCATTATGGACCCGATTGCACTTATTTTGGTTGGCATTCCATGTTCTTAACCTTTTCATTTGCTTGTCTTTTCATTTCTTGTAAGTTATGTCTTTTCATTTCCAAGTCTTTTCATTTCTTGTAAGTTACAAGTCCTTTCATTTTCTTAAGACTTTTCATATGGCTTGCTAGGATGGCTATATATAGCCTCGAGATGTCTTGTTGTAAACATAATTTCAAGTTTAATGAAAAGTGAGTTTTCTCATTAGCTTGGTTGTGAGCTTTATCTCCCATTTCTTGTGCAATTTCTCGTGTCTTTAGAATTTGCATATTAGGATCATTCAAGCGGTGTTGATCATACCTCTTGTGGAGTGATTCGAATCACGAGTTTTCTCTACTCTTGATATTGATCATCAAGGTAATCCGTTCTTACACTTTTCCTTGGTTTGATTCCATACTTGTTTTCGGGGTTTTTGGGATTGAGTTCTATGGGTCTTGTCGATAGCAAGGTTCTTAGATCAAACTTTCAAGGGTTTCTTAACATTTTGGTATCAGAGATTATCCTACTAATCTTATGACATACATTTTGTGAATTTAAAAATAAAGAATACCACAAACCTTTAGTGAAATTCCACCGAAATAAATTTCTTAGAGATATAAGAACCAAACTTTTGGAGTAACAAAATTTTAGTAATCTTCCAATCCCTTTTCTCCCCCCATTTCAAGAAAATCTAAACACTTATATAGGCAATATGAAACTTAGGGAAAAAGGAGATAGAAGACCATGTGCAAGGGTGGGAAGAGGAAAAAAAGAAGGAAAGAGAAAAAAGTGGGAGTGGAGTAAACGTGCGAGAAAAAAAAATAAAGAAAATAAACCTTACCTCCTATGAAGCGTCGAATATGAAGAAAGGGAAGGAGAGAAATAACGAAAAAAAAAGAATGTGGAAGAAAATTAGGGATGAAGAAAATGAGAAGTTGAGTAATATGGAGAAAATGGTGGGAGAGTGGCTAGAGAGAAGGGTAGAAAATGGAGATACGGATAGAGAAAAGAAGAGAGATATAAGAACTTAGGGGAGTAGTTGAGAAAAAAAATAAACAATTGGATTTTGTTAATAAAAGTAAATAAATAAAAAAAATGGATTTTGTTAAATAACAACTTCAGATTAAAAAAAAAAGTCATCAATTTTATTAATTTTGCTATTTTGTTATTAAATAGAATAATCAAAAGAAACATTGAACTAAAGTAATATGCTTAATATGAAAAATAAGTCGGACAAAGTACGGTATCTACAAGTTGTATTATTTTTTCTTTCTATGTATTGTCGTAATTGACATGAGCTAAACCCATAAAATGGGGTTTGAGGCTTTCGTCTATAACATCATTTCGTTTGTTATTGAAGTATTTTATATTTGAGTAGGTTAGCTTTTATTTTGATAGTTATGAATACCTCATCAACATTTATGAATAGTTGTTCTGTTAGGTTTAGAAGAACTTGATAGGTGTGCTTAACCTTGCTTGATGCTAGATTTACGCCTGTATGCAGAGTGTGAGGTACTTATGAATTAGATTCATCTAGTATAGCTATAAACTGTTTGTGAATGTTCATTAAGACAACGCAAGTTAGGTAATCAAATATTGGATAATCTAGGAGGATATTGTGTCTGTCTAACTAGTAGAATTAATTTCTTCAATTCTAGAGCATTGGTCAGTAACAAATGGTGTAAGGATCTAACCCTCCTTGTCATTTATTTGTGGATATTTTAGTCCCTAGTTCTTATTTATGTTGATCGTTCCATATTTAATGTTCATTTATTGTAAAGCTAAATAACTTAAAATTTTAGTGTTTGAAGACCGAAGCGTTAAGTACTTTGGTTACTTGATTCTTGAGAAGGATTTGGAATATTTATGTTATAACAATCCC